TCTGAGCTCACTGAGCTCATTGAGCTTCCTTAAAACCATTGTTTTGAACTCAATATCTGATAGTTTTCTTGCTTCTATTTCACTTAGTTCTTTTTGTGGGGATTCTTCCTGTCCCTTTGACTGAGGGGTGTTTCTTTGTCTTCCCATTATTTGTGAGACTCTTCTTTTTTGCTTCTGCTTCTTACATTGATCTGTCTTGATTTCTTGACTTTGTGGTGTGAACTTCTCTGGTAGGAGATCCCTGTGTTTTCTTTCTGGATCTGCTTCTGATGATGTCAGATGTCATCCGTGTCTGACCTTAGGCAATCTGTTCAAGATTTCCAGGAATCTACTGTCTGTGGCTGTCTCCTTCAGTTGTTAATCTAGTCACTCTGCACTCAGTAGTCAGGCTTAGGTACCACAGTGTGGGGGCAGAGTCCCTCCTGTGGGCAGGGTTCTTGTGTCCTCTCACTTTGCTACCTCTCAGGGGAGAGGTCTGCCTGAGCAAGATGGTTGTTGCCATGTTGGGGAGGAGTCAGCACTGGGATCCTGGCAGCTACTCTCTCAGATCTCTCCCCAATAGCTCTGTCTCCAGTCTCTCCTCAAGTGTCTCTAGGCCATTCTGTGTAGCCTTTTGCCAGAGATCTACTATCTGTGACTGCCACTCTTTACTCCCATATTCACTGTTTTATTCCACTATCTTCTGCCACCTTTCAGGCAACTTCATAACTTCATCTTCCCAAAACTTTTTATCTTTTTGAGCAAAGAACTGTTCCAGGTACCTTTTACTATCTTCCAGGGAATTGAAATTTTTTTCCATTAAGATAATTTTGTAAAGACTGCAATAAATAGAAATCCAACGATGCAATGTCTGGTGAATACGGTGGATGAATTGGAAATTCCCAGGCAAGCTGTAACAGTTTTTGCCTGGTCATCTAAGAAACATGCAGTCTTGTGCTACCCTTTTGGAAAATTATGCAGTTCCTGTTGACTAATTAAGGACACTTGTCATAGAGTGCTGCTTTCAGTTAGTCTAATTGGAAACAGTATTTGTTGGAATTAATCATTTGGTTTTCTGGAAGGAACTCATGCTAGAGAACTTCCTTCCAGTCCCACCATATACATATCATCTTCTTTGGGTGAAGACAAACTGTGGTGTCATTAGTGATGGTTCATTTTGCTTGTCCCACAATCTTATCCATTACACCTTATTGTGAAGCATCCACTTTTCATCATCTATCACAATTTGTTTTAAAAACAGAATGTTTTTGTTATGTTGGAGTAGAGAATAGCATGCAGAAATACAGTCAAGGTTTTTTTTTTTTTCCATAACTTGTGTGGATCCAAACATCAAAGCAATGAACATAACCAAGCTGGTGCAAATTATTTTCAACATTTGATTTGGATATTTTGAGTATTTCAGTTATCTCCCATGTGGTGTAACATTGATGGTTCTCAATTAACGTTTCAATTTGTTTGCTATCAACTTCAATTGGTCTATCTGACCATGGAACATCATCCTGCAAGAAATCGCCAGCATGAAATTTTGATCTTTGTGAACTTTCGACATGTTCAATTAGGCACAACACCTTCTCCATACACTCCAAAATCTTTTTTTCATTTCAGTTGTGTTTTTACCTTTCTCTAAATAATAAAGTATCATATACTGAAAATGTTGCTTGTTTTCTTCCATTTTCAATATTAAAATGGCTACACAAAATACACCAATTTTGATAAGTATTTTTTAAATATATACTGATATGACAGCTGTCACAATTCAATCAAACAAAATTGTTTTGAATGAAGTTGAAGACCACTAAGAACTACTAGAGTCATCTGATGGAAAAAAATGAACGAAGGTTTTGGCCAACTCCCAGGGCAGGGCAGATCCTGCACTTTACATGGCCTTTCTTACAGTAAGTGCTTCACAGATACTTCCTGGCTTAATGAATGAATAAACTGCACAAGTATCCTTGCTAGTTAGTTTTCTTCTTTAAGATTTCAATACTTGGCTAAGTGAAGAGTAATTGATTCGAAAGTTCTCATGTGGAAGACGAAGAATTGCCAGCAAATGTAGATATCCTGAAAAAATTCTGGGGATCCAAGTGGCAAGCAAATTGTCCTTAAGCACCAACCAAGCAGCATGCTTTTTGAATCCTTCAGGATCACAACAGTTAACTGAGGAATATAGCTCTGGGCTTCACAGACAGGAGTACAGACCAAAGAAATGTTTTCTGCTATGAGAATATGCCAGGCTGCAATGCACTTAAAGGTGAACATTGCCATATTGATTTTAAGAATGTTAAGAAGTCACCTGCCTATAAATAAACCTTTAGAAAGGCAGCTTCTCCCAGGCAAAGATCAATACTGACCTTTACTAAGCCTAAATGTATGCCTAGTTATGCTGGCCTGAAGCTAAGAACACCAGCCTTCCAAGATCCTTTTTAACTTAGCTACTTCCCCAAGTCTGGGAGCAAATTTAGAGCCCTGAGGAGACAAGGCATGAGGACAGGGGTCTGGGACACTCTCAGTCCCCAGAGGCAGCCTCCTCTGCTCTCCAGCCTAGACTCCATTTTCTTACCTCCAGTTGACAGCTTTCAAGGACCCCAGACTTTGGTGGCACAAGCAGGAAGTCATGAAGTCCTCCTATATGCCTCCCATGCTCTCCAACCCCACTCCATGAAGCACAAAGAATGGCCTGATTTAGCCCTTCATCATTTCCTGAATCTGTTTTCCCTAATCCAGGTGCCTAGCTCAGTCCAAGTCACCACCCTCTATGCCTGGAAAACTTCAGTTAGCTGCTGAGTGGCCCTGACAGTGTTCAGGGCCCATTAGCCTGCTCCCCACTCCATGAAAGGAAGCACTCTTTTTCACGCTCATCTCAGAATGTCATCCCCTCACTGTTTCTCCATGGATTTAAGTAGCCCTAAATCTTCATTGTTTGGACTCACAGAGCTCCACCTTCCCAGACCTTTCATCTTATTCTTAGGATCAGTCTCACTGCCTTCCCATTACTCCCTGTGAAGGCCATGACCCTCCTACTACAGAGCCTTAGTATGTGACGTTCCTCCACTGTGGACATCAATTTCCCTTTCAGTTATTCCTCCCTAGACTCTGGATTAATTGCCATTTTTCCCCAGGGAAGCCTGGGGCTTCCTTCCCCCCGCCCCCCACACCCAGGCCAAGACATCTCTTGACATCCTGAACTTCTCCCTGTGGTACCTGTCACAGTTGCAACTGTTCAATGTATTCAAATATGTCTACTCAGATTTTAGGGTCATGAAGGCAGGATTTCCCTCCTAGAATCTTAGTGCTGAGCCTAGTATATAGTAGGGGTGTAATTAACTTTGGGTAGACAGATGGATGGATGGGTTGGTGGGCAGAGGGTGGGTGGGTGGGTGGATGGGTGGATATAGATGGGCAGATGGATGGGTAGGTAGATAGATATATGATGGCTGGATCTCCATAGACACCAAGGAGCACAAGGAAGGTCTCATGGGTTCTGAAAGATGGTCCCTGGACAACCTGAAATACCTTATTAAAATAAGCAGGACATAAGAAACACCTCTGAAAGATCTCCAACTGAAATCTGAAATGGACACCTTATTTATGCATTGGGGAGGTTGAAAGCCAGTGAGTTCCTAAACCCCATGAAACCTTAACTCAAATTTCTGTAGAGGGCTGAAATGGCAGATACTGGTACTACATCCACAGCCCTGTGGTAGTCCCCTGTGATTCTCCACCTGAGTGTTCCCTTTGGTGTACTGGGTCCTCACTGTCAGCCTAGAGCAACGAGGAGCTGCTGCTGCCCAGTGAGGAGGAGAACTGGAGGATACCTGTCCCAGCCCCCTCCCCTCAGCTGGCAAGGCTCTGTCATGTGGCCCACATCACCTCTCAGGGTGTCCCAGGGAATAAAGTTCCAGCAGCCTCAGTGTTATTTGCTCTTTCAACTCCCTTGTGTTGGCTCATTCTTTTTCTGTCTTACCTCTCCAAAATAAACTAATTGCTTCAAATCCTTATCTCAGAGTCTACTTCTGGAGACCCAAATCAAAGACAGCTCCAATAAGCACACTGGGTCTGTGATTCTGGAAAAGAACCCTTGTAGTTCAAAGCCTTTGGTGAGTTAATATGCAGAAGGTGGTCAGCAAAGCTGTCTGGCTCCTTTTAGGAATGACAAAACTATGATGAAGGCAACAGAAGTCAGGCCTGGATCCACCTTCCAGGCTCAGAGCTCTGACCCTTTCTGGGAATCCTGAGTAGGGGAGGCAGATGTCAAGCCAGTGCCAGGTCAGAAACATTTTTTTTCTTTGTGGTGCTTTTTGTGCATTGCCTTCTCCCAACACAACATTTGTACTGTGAAACCCTGGAAAATGCTAAATCTCACCCGATTTGCTTTAATGTTCTCAAGGAGCTTGGCACTGTATTAGAGATGTTCAGACATTCCCACGGCCCAGTTTCTATTTAAAAACTGCCTCTCTATTTAAAGTTCATCATGGGGGGAATAAAAGAAAAAAGACTTCCAAAACTTAAGGGAACATGAGATAGATGAAAGAAAAATCCAGTTTGCTTCTAAAAAAGGCTGAAAATTATAACCATCCATGGCCTTATGTCTCAAGCCTGAGGATTTTTCCCCTTTTCTGGTTCTCTGCAAACCAAAATGGAATTTTATTATGGGTTACTCAGTGAGCTTTTTCTTGGCTCACAAACATCTCTACTCATCTGTAGCATGCCATTTAAGTTCCTCGTCCAGATGGGAGAGAATGGAACCAAAATAAAGCAGCCAGTGTCCTAGAGTTGTAGCAGTCTTCCCCCAGTGTGGCCACATTTTCCCAGTGCTTAGCCAGGGACCCAGCAAAGTTGCCTGGATCCTTGTGAGAACAACAAAACCATGATGAAAGCAACAAGAGTCAGAAAACTATTCACTGCAGGAAGTCCCAGTATCCGGTGAGAAATAAGAAATTCAACAGCACAGGATGTGCCTTGGGTCAGGGGGATGTGATAAGCCCACAGCCTTTGTGTCCTTCCCTGTGCCAGAGTGTCAGTGCCTGAACCCTCAGCTCCCCTCTGAATTCAGCTGGAGCAGCTGCTGTCACTGTCAGGCTTCCAGCCTCTACGATGGACTCCTCCACCAGCCTGCTGCTGCTGCTGCTCCTGAGCCAGCCTTGGATGGGGGCTGGTGCTGAGAAACACGCTGTGGTGTGTGCAGGAACTGCCTGCTACTCAGCCCACTGGGGAAAGCTGAGTGCAGCTGAGGCCCAGCTTCACTGCAGCAAGAAAGGGGGCAACCTGGCGACGGTGAGATCTGAGGAGGAGGCGCGGCACATCCAGCGAGCACTAGCCCAGCTTCTAGAGCCCGGGGTGCCCCTGGAAACCCAGAAAGGCAAGTTCTGGATAGGACTCCAACGGGAGAAAAGGAAGTGCTTAGACCCCAGCCTTCCTCTGAAGGGCTTCAGCTGGGTGGGTGGCGGAGAGGATACATCTTATTCCAACTGGCACAAGGAGGTCAAGAGCTCTTGTATCTTCAAGCGCTGTGTGTCCTTGATGGTGGACCTGTCCCACTTGTCCCTCTCCAGCCACCTCCTCAAGTGGTCTGAAGGACCATGTGGGAACCCAGGCTCTCCTGGAAGCAGCATTGAGGGCTTTGTGTGCAAGTTCAGCTTCAAAGGCATGTGTCGGCCCCTGGCCTTAGGGGGCCCAGGCCAGGTGAACTACACCACTCCTTTCCAGGCCATCAGCTCCTCTTTGGAGGCTGTGCCCTTTGCTTCTATGGCCAATGTGGTCTGTGGAGATGGGGATAAGAGTAAGCAGCTTTTCTTCCTGTGCAATGAGAAGTCTACTGATGTGTTCGACTGGGACAGCTCAGGACCCCTCTGTGTCAGCCCTGAGTTTGGCTGCAACTTCAATAATGGAGGCTGCCATCAAGACTGCTTCGAAGGGGGAGATGGCTCCTTCCGCTGTGGCTGCCGCCCGGGGTTCCGGCTGCTGGATGACCTGGTGACTTGTATGTCCCGGAACCCTTGTAGCTCCAGCCCATGTGGAGGGTTGGCCACATGCATTCCTGGACCCCTCGGGAAAAACTACACATGCCAGTGCCCCCAAGGCTACCAGCTGGACTCAACTCAGCGGGACTGTGTAGATGTGGATGAGTGCCAGGACTCCCCCTGCTTTCAGGAGTGTATCAACACTCCTGGAAGCTTCCACTGCCAGTGCTGGGTAGGCTATGAGCCTCGTGGCCCTGAAGAGGGAAACTGTCAGGATGTAGATGAGTGTGCCCCTGGCCACTCACCCTGCGCCCAGGGTTGCACCAACACAGATGGCTCCTTCTACTGCTCATGCGAGGATGGCTATATCTTGACTGGGAAGGATGGCACCCAATGCCAGGATGTGGATGAGTGTGAGGGCCCAGGGGGCAGCATCTGTGATAGCTTATGCTTCAACATGAAGGGGTCCTTCCGCTGCGGCTGTTTGCCAGACATGGAGTTAGCGCCAGATGGGGTCTCCTGTATCATAAACCCCACGTCCCTGGCACCATCTACAGAGCCTCCCCAGGAGGAGAACACAAGAGATAGAGAGGGAAGACTTGTGCTTTCTATCACAACATCAAGTCCAACTGGGGACCCTGAGGATACCTCCAAAGTGGCACACACAATGAGGAGACCCTTCTTCCTACCCAATGCTTCCATCACCCCCACATCACCCCAGACTCTAGCCACCAGTGGGTCCCCTGGCATCTGGATGGAGCCCAGAAACCATCACCCTAAGGTCACCATGGGCCATGAGGAGTCTACAGGTGGGGATTTCATGGTCCAACAAAGGGATGACGGCACCGATGGACAAAAGCTGCTTTTGTTCTACATCCTGGGCACTGTGGTGGCCATCCTACTCTTGCTGGCTTTGGCCCTAGGGCTGCTGGTTTACCGCAAACGGCGAGCCAAGAGGGAGGAAAAAGAGAAAAAGCCCCAAAGTGCAGCAGACAGCTACTCCTGGGTTCCAGAACGAGCTGAAAGCAAGGCTATGGAGAACCAGCACAGGTAAGGAGGACGGAGGTTGCCTAGGGTTGGGAGGGGGCAGACACAGGGAGGTGGGTGGGCAAAGACTCCTACACAAACAGGCGGGGGGCAAAGGTAGCTGCTGTCCATACTGGATGATAAAACTAACCCTGTTGCCAATCTGGAGGCATGCTGGAGCTCTCTTAGGGCAGTTGCCCTGCTTGCAGCTTGGATGCACATGGACCTCCCTCAGGGTTTAGACATGCATGGAAGGGTGCAGCAGTTTCCAATGCTGTTATCTTCTGTTTTCCATAGTCCAACAGCTGGGACAGACTGCTGAAGATGAGGTGGCCCCAGAGACACTGTCAGTCAGCTACCACTATCCTCAGAGCTTGAAGTCCCTGTCAAAAGGCGGGACCCACATCCTTCTGAAAGACTGAACTGGAATCTTAGAAAACAATTGTAAACTTGCTCCTTAAAAGTCTGGCAACTTGGAACGTGCAGGTGTATTCTAAATGTGTATGATATTCCTGAAGTGGAAGCAATGAACTGTCATGTCATTGGGGGAATTTTTGAATATTAACAATTCGCACTCATTCCCTTTTTCAAGTTCAAATATGACTGATTTCATTTTTTTTTTGTACTGATTCTGAATTACAAGTTAGGTGCTAGTGGGCTTCCCTTGAACTGATTTTCTGCTAGCTGGACTCATCTAAAAAGAAAAGGGGTCTGATAATTCTAATTAGAACTGAAATAGTTTGTTCACTTTAGTATAATGAAGACTAAGTCAATTATTGCTTAAGTATATAAAAAAGTGTTTTGTTTTGTTTTGTCAAAGGGAACATATTTAGGACTGGAAACATGTCTTTGCATTTACATTTATTCATTTTTTTCATCATAAGTCTTTTGAACTTGATGTTGCTGAAATCATCCACAGTGACCAGAAATACACTTAATTGTTTAGTTAGTAAGGAGGTAAGGAATTTAGAGATCACATATCTCACTCTTAGGTTTCTGATTACATTGGATTTATTTGCCAGTGAAACCTGAAAAATGTGTTAAGAGTTGTATGAAGAGAGTCAAACGATTTTGAAAATAAATAATCAAAAGTGCTAAAGAGAGAGGCCAGGGTTTTTTTCACAGATACTTGAATCTAAATTGGTTTAAATATTCTGATGTTAACACAGACTTAACTATTGATGAAATGAACAGTCATAAGGAAAAAGCCCAGGACAACTTGTCTCTAAGCCTGTACATCCTCAAGACACCCCACTATCAGGCTGCCCTGCCTTTATCTCAGGCATCCCTGAATCTGGGTGATTTGGCTGTAGATGGAGGGTGCACTAGAATGTCTCTCATTCTGATTGTTTCCAAAGGATGTGTGAACTAAATGACTTTCTGAGTTCGAAAACTGTCATTGCAAAGCTTTTTAGCACAGTTCACGGTTGACATTGAATCCTGACAACTTGATCCTGATCTGTGGCTGTAGCATACAAAAAAGTCAGGGACTAGTCATGTTGGATGATTCTCCCAGTGTTTCTTCAGAAACTTGTGCCCCCTTTCTTTCTTTTCCCCATAAAGAAGGGTGGGGTGGGAAGGGAGAGAGAAAGAGAGAAAAAACTAAAATCATTTGCAACTACTAAAACTACTCAAAACAACTTTTATGTATATCCTCATTTTAAGGTGCTCACTTGCAAAGATTTCCCCTTATGATGTGATCGATAGCGTGAGATTCTGCCTGTGTAGACAGAAAGGAGCTGGTATGGTCAAACTTGTTAGAGCTGCCCAAGGGACACCATGAAGCCTCTGGTGGCCTGGGGGCTTTCTCCTGACACCATGCAGAAGGACAAAGGTAATGTTTTTCCTTCCAGAGACTCCAAACTATCTCTCAGAAAAAGGGTACCCTATCGTTTCTTTTTTTGCCTTAAAAATGCAACTGTCCCCAGAGTTCAACACTGTGGGTGGGAGTAGAGGCAGGTACATAGCCAGCCTTCAGAGTTAAGTACATATTTTTTTCCTTGGCCAATTTTGAAATGTAGATGCTACAGTTTATTATTTTTTTTTTAAGAAAATGGAAAACTGCAGGGGAATGTAAAAAGAAAGATGAAGGCTCTGAGGTTTGGAATTTCTGCTTTTTAAAGTCAGTTTTCACTTGGAATAAGTGATATTTAACACTCAAGGAGACAAAAGCTGTGTCCATTGGCCATAAGACCCTTGGCAGTCTGTTGTATGGGAAACAACTCTTCGGTCATTCAGATAATTTTAAAGACTTGGCCAGATGTGTTGCTGACCAGTATCTGCACTTACATGAAATAAATGCAAATTCAGAAGTTTTACCCCTAGACCTTTACAGTTTTTCTTTTCTTTTAGTATAAGGGAGAGATTACTACTCTCGGGTCTGCCCAAGTCCTCTGTGATGCTGTGGGCCTTAAATTGGCTGAGGTTACTAACGATTTCACAGTGTTTGATTCTTCCATAGCCCTGCTTCACTTTCTGGTCTATGTTTAAATTTTTCTGTGGTAGGAATAGGCAGCCTAGTCTCCTACCTTGGGGAGACCACACAGATTCCCAATGTGGAAGCCACAGGGAATAAATGGGTTAATAAAAAGCAGTTTTTCAAAATCTGCTCCAGCAGAGTTAGCCCTCCAAAGGCCAGTGGCTATTCTTTATCTCGCTCCACTGCCCACCAGTGGCCAAGATCCTTGACCTGGATGACCTTAGGCAGATTATCTGATGAAACTACTGACTTCAAACAGATGTTTTATTTTCCCATTCAGTACTCTTGTAATTCTGTCTGAGATATTCAAACCCTTGTACTGGGGAGTTCAGGGCCACAACAATGGATAAACAAGTGTCCATCAGCTACATGGGCATTGACAAACTGCCCATTTATTCACAGGGAACCCAGGTGGGTTTGGCCATGACATAGCCAGAGAAATGGATGGGAATAAGCATGTGAAGAGGTAGCTCTGCCATGTGCAGACCCCTCCAACTATGTCCCTGGGCAGGGACAAACCAGGTGCTATTTTGTCCCTGACCTGCCAAGAAGCCGAACAAGTGAGTCCACGGGGAGAGGGAGAAGGTTCTACTTGGTAACAGTCTCAAAGGTAATGAACTTTTTTGTCCAAATAGTATTTCCCATAGTTCAATCATTCTAGGAAACTTTTAGAAAACATATTTGGGACAAACTCACTTATTTTTACCCTTCACCTCCCAAAGCAGATAATTTGAAGGGAAGGACAACTTTAAACACACAGCCCATGAGGCCCATTTCTGATTTTTAGGGACAATCATTGCTCTTTTCTTCCTTATTATTTGGAGGGGCCTGATGCAAGAGGACAGTTCTCCCTAGGGAATCTGAATGCTGAACAACATGGCCTCGAGGTACAAACAGTCATTGAGAGCAGCTTGATTATTGTAGTGGTGACATTGTGATGTTATATATCTACATGGTGTTTTCCTAGCAGCATTCAGTAGATGAATTAAGCAGTTTCTGGATTGAGGACAGGAGTGCTCTGGAGTGTGGTCACTGCCAGGCTTTGCAAGGCCATCTCTGGCCCTAAGTGTTGTTCAATGGTAGCCTAGCAGACCTTGGCAAAGACTCCTACTCACATCTTCTCATGATCAGGTAAACAAGTAGAATAAAAAGTTAACCATATAATATATGCTCATGTACACCATGAAGAAGGAACTGAGTAGGAAATGAATATCTTTTCTCTTAAACACACTTTTGCATCACTATTCTGTTTCATGTTCTAATCATGAGCACTTATCTGAGCATATTGTGATAGACTCTTAGCACAGAACAAGCAACTTTTGCAGAACATGGATTTCATCATTACTTACATTGCAACTTTCTTTTCCATAAATATTTTTTTGTGAAGACTAGAAGAGGAGAGATGAGATTTGACAAAACAAAATGTAGTCCTAACTTCAGTATTTTAAAGCAAATATAGGAAAGCCTTTGTGTATTATTTTTCTTCTGCGCTTCTCCATTGTCTAGATCAGGGAAACAGGAAAACATTGCATTCTAGCAGCTGCAAATCGTGCAATGGTTCTGCATATTTCCATCATTTTAAACAATAGGTTCAGTGTGGGAATCTGAGATATGAGCCCTTGAAAACATCTGTTCCTAACTGGCTGCAAAACCAACTGCTTAAATCTGTGTGGTTTGTGGAGTCAACTAAAATAAAAGGACGATAATCAAAATTCCCCACTATACAACAACAAATATCTTATTTGACTCCAGATTCTGGGAACTAATATTAACTAAACTGCTTTTATAAAAAATCAGTTGTGTTTTGGTGTGTTCTTAGAGTTAATGTCCATCTATTTTAGGAAGAAACTCTAGATTCCTTTCCTGAACTATTCCTTTTATCTGTAAGGTGGCCAGTGTTTTCTTTCAGCAGATTTTGTCCTCTGCTTTACTGGGCTGAAGTCCTTTTCTGCATATTTGGCTTAAGCTTAAACTATGTTGTATGCAAGCTCTTGTTCTCTAATATTAGATGCAATTATAAATGTCTGTAACCACTTCATGAACGCTAAATGAGAATTTAATTATTTTTAAGTGTATGTATTTAAGATTTGTTCCACTAATTCTGAAATCATGGAATTTTAACGTGGGGTTTATTTTCATCTTAGGCATACGTTTGTGCAGGTTGGGGGGGTACACTTGAACACAGCACTGATCCTCAGAACACAGAGAAACTGAGTGGCATCTTGCATCAGCCTCATGCAGTGGCAGGTTTTTTGTTTTTTGTGTTTTGTATTACACATCTATTTTAATAAACTCTGAAATACATTTGTTATCAACTTGTTTTAATATATTTCATAACAACTCAAAATATATGGCAGACATGCATGTATGGTCATTAAATGTATCTGTTTTCCTTTTCAAGGAGTTGCTAAAAGAAGGTAACTTGATTGCCTCATTTCTGTCTCCACCTACTGGAGGCAGCAATAACCCCAGAGCACTGGGTGGGTGCAAGGCAGTGTCCTCCTGCCTGCTCTGTCCCTCAGCACTCTGGCCTCAGGAACATGGACATACAGAGGGACTGGGCTGCAGTGTGACCAGCAGCTGAGACCCAAACCTGACTTAATGCTTTCAAATTTTGCCTTCGGATTCAGAGTCCATTCATTGGTGACTCCATCTTCACCATTATATTCTCTGCATCATTTTAAATGCATGGGTAACACTTGGCGCAGGATTAAACATGTTCAACTAGAATGATGAAAAACACCATCCTCTCATTATTATGGGAGCATTATCATCACTTTGTCATAGAAGTGTTTTCAGTTTATTTAACTAATTGGACAGGTTGGCCAGATTGCTCATTGTTTGGCTGCATATATTTTGTTTTGAGTGGAAGTTGTGGCAGCAGATGGTGGGTCAATTCTGAGTCCATCTGTTTTGCAGATCGTGAGATCGTGTACTGGCAAGAACAGAACTTAGGTAGGATCAAGTGCTCTGCTGCTATGCTAATGGACAGAACACTTGGGATAAACAGTCATTACTCAATGTTAAATAAAGCTGATCTTTTAAGCAGTCTAGTCACTAACAAAATACATTTAGAAATTTTATCTTAATATGAACAACCTTGGCTGGGCCCCAACACATACACCTCTGTATGTGCATCATAAACACAACACAGAAAAACAGAAAACCACCCACAAATATACATATACACAAACACACAAACATACACCCATAAACACACACACAATTTTAACATTCTTCTGTTTCACACTGGAAAACCTGAGGCTAGTATTTTCTGTCTTAGGAAAACCCCAAATGAACAAAAACGCCAAATTTTAATGGTTACTCCTCTTGATGACTTTTGCTATCTGCTAACTAAAATGACTTTAATGCTAGATAAATCTATCAAATATGATTAATTTACAAAAAAATTCAATTTTTACAGATGTATCTGTTACACAATACGAAACACATTAGTAACAGACAACAGAGAAGGCTAAAAAGCAAGACTAACATATTATGTACATTTCATGACTTTAAACATGACTTGAATAAGCTATTTTAAGTTCTTAGCTAACTCAAGTATATTTAGTAAAAGAAGACAGATAAACCTGAAAACAAAAAAAAGGTAAGATTGCTTTTCTCTGGATTATATTTTGACATTACAGCTGCTTAGAAAGAGAACAGTTTTCTCAACTTCTTTATACCTCCTGGCTCATCCTTCTTGGAAAAAGAAGGAAGGACAAGTAAATGGTAAAAAAGAAAAAAAAGGCAAAGGAAGTGAAAGGTCCAGGATAATCCAGAAGGCCAACAATCACTCTCTGGGAATCTGACTTAACAGTATGCTCTCCACAGGATTACCACACATGTGCTCTCTGAGACTTCAGGTGCCCACAGCCAGAATTCACCACAGCTGTTGCCCTGCACTGAAAGCCATTTGTTGGATTTTTATTTGAGATTTGTCATTGTTGACTTGGCTGTTGTAGTACTCTTGTGGTTGAAATTGGTCCATAGAATTCAACTCTGTGGAATAAGGGAAGGGAAGGGAAGGGAAGAGGAAGGAAGGAAGGAAGGGAGGGAGGAAAGAAGAAAATGATTGTCTAACTACGATGATTTACACCTGAAACTAATACAGAATGATACCGAATGTTAAGTATAATTGAAAAAAAATGTTCTCCATTAAATAAAGAATGAGTGGATGAAAAACAGAAAAGGTGGGAAGGAGAGAGAAGAAGAGGGGCTGGGGGCGGACAGAGAGAGAGGGGGAGAGAGAGAGAGAGAGAGAAGGGGGCAAGGGATAACCTAGATGTTGTGAAGATCATTGGGTCACCATTCACACATCTTCTCTTTTTGTTTGAGATAATTAAGGACTATTTGCCCTCATTGCCTCTGTAACTTTCTGGTCAACGCTTGCAGAATGGCAGAATTATATTTCTGCTGACCTTGGTTGAGGACCAAGCACGCTTTTCATTGTGTTCTTGTCACCTTTTACTGAAAAACACTGTTTCTCTCTTCCACTTCACTTTTTTTTCACTTGTTCACATAATTTATATTATAAAGCCTTAAACTGGGTTCATCATTCTGTTGAGCTCCTTCTGTGTTCAAATATCACATGAAAATAATGAAACTGGTGAAGTGGAAGAAAATAATTGTTCCTTTTACCTTTTTTCTCCAGGGTCTTCCTTTCCCCCAAAAGATTATGTCCCAAACTAAATGTTTCATTTCACTTTCTTTTTTTTTAAATTTTATTTTAATTTATTTTTTCAAATATGTTTGTCTCTGCCTCCCCCCAACACTTTCCCTTGCCCCCTCCCTTCTTCCCTCCCTCAGCTCTTCCCCTTTGGTGTTGTCCATGAGTCCTTGCTATATGTTCCTTGACTTTCCCCTTCCCTTCTTTTTCCCTGCCCCACCTCCTTCCCTCTTGTCTCTGTTGATTTCTTTTCCTTTCAGTGTTGCTGGTCTTATTTTCCTTGCATCGCTTTTCCAAGGAGGAGATACAGAGGGCCCAGAGGCATTTGAAAGGATGCTCAGCATCATTTTCAAAACCATCACTGGCCCTCTGAAGCATATAATGTCTGTATATCTTAGCCCCATCCTCTCAGTCACAGTGTGTGTCTGTTGGGCGCAGGTTTTGCATATCAGTCACATCACACCTGTCCATTATCTTTGTCCATGTTATCATCGCCCACACAATGTGGCTTTGTCACTTCTTCTTGTGTTCCTATCAGTTTTGTCTTCTACTTAAAGCTGCGTGGTTAGGTGATTGATACTTATTTGACAGGTTGCTTCCTTTACCAATAAGAATGATAACATTTTGGACATTTTCACCTCAAAGTATATTTTGTCTAACTATTAAAACTGTTATGCCTGATTAATCTGTTGCATATGATGGTCGCTAATTTTTTCAGGATTTTTGGCAATTGGCTTTTTTTTTTAAACTTTTTTCCTTGTTTTTTTCTATTACAGTTGTCCCAGTATTTCTCCCTTTGCACTCCTCCATCCAGTCTACCCACTGCTCCCACAGTAAATTCCCACACCACTGTCCATATCCGTGGGTCATTCATACATGTTCTTTGTCTAATCCCTTCCCCTTCTTTCCACCATTCCCCTCTCGCCTGACCACTTGAGCAGCTGTCAGTCTGTTCTATGTTTCCATGCATGTGGTTCTGTTTTGCTTGTTAGTTTATTTTGTTTATTAGATTCATCTTGTAAGTGAGATCTTATGGTATCTGTCTGTCACTGACTGGCTTATTTCACTTAGCATAATGCTCTCCAGTTCTATCCATGCTGTAGCAAAAGGTAGGAATTTCTTTTCCTTTCTGCTGAGTAGTATTCTATTGTGCAAATGTACCACAGTTTTTTAATCCATTCATCTACTGATGGATACTTAGGCTGTTTCAAATCCTTGGCTATTGTAAATAGTGATGTTATGAACATAGGATGCATGAGTTCTTTTGAGTTGGTGTTTCAGAATTCTTAGATGTATTCACAGCAATGGAATTTCTGGGTCAAAAGACAGCTCCATTTTTAGTTTTCTGAGGAAATTACACACTGTTTTTCGCAGTGGCTGCACCAGTCTGCATTCCCACCAATAGTGCCCTAGGGTTTCCTTTTCTCCACATCCTTGCCAATACTTGTCGATGTTGACATTGATGATAGCCATTCTGACAAGTGTGAGGTGATATTTCATTATGGTTTTAATTTGCATCTCTCTGATGGCTAGTGATGTTGAGCATTTTTTCATATGTCTATGGGTTATCTGTATATCCTACTTGGAGAAGTGTCCATTCAGGTCTTTTGTCATATTTGGCCACTTGATCTTAGCCAAAAGGCCGAGAAGCGATCTTTTGTCATATTTTAATAGAGTTGTCTGTCTTCCTGGTGTTGAGTCATATGAGTTCTTTATATACAATGTGTATTTTGGAGATTAAACCCTTATCTGATATATCTTTGGCAAATATGTTCTCCCATATGGTCAGTTCCTTTTTCGTTTTGATAATGTTTTTACTTTTTTAAATTTTCAGCCTTTTCATGTCTCATTTTGTTCTTCTCTTGTAAACAATAATGCTGAATTTTGCTGTTTTTTCTTTAACCAAAAGCCATTGTTTTGCCCCCAGTAATGGGATTTGCTAGCTATCTGATGGCACGCTGATTATATCGACTGTTCTCATAAGAGAGAAGGCATCCTTTTGTTTTCACAGTGATAAGCAAATATTCTGGATATGTATTTTGTTTCTCTGTCGACATTACTTCTGTCAGTAATATTATTACAGAATGCCTTATCCATCATCATTGTATTCCACACAACAGTGCCTCTAAACAGGGACCCACTGACAGCAAAGGAAGTGTGGCAATGGTTTCAGAACCACAGAATACACTAACAACATGTGCCATCACCTAGAAACAACCGGCTCTGACAGAATGGTGGTGTCACTTGCTGAAGCTCAGGCAAGCCCCAGCTGGAAGACACCTGGTATAAGTCCGTGCACATGAATAACAATCTATTTTATTCTCAAAAAAATCTTAATCCATAAGTGAGCTCTATCTATTTCTAGTTATGTGGACATTTCCATCTCAAACTCCACAGGTCCAAAACTGAATTTCTTATCTTCCCCATCATAAAAATTGATTTTTTTCAGCATTCTTCCTAGTCTCAGTTTATGACACTATCGTGTACCCAGTCATCTGAGCCAGAAATGTAGTGGTTATCCTAGATGTCATACCTTTCATAAACTCCAATTTGAAATCTGTCATTAGGTACTATTAATTTTGCTTCCAAAGTAACTT